ATTAAAATTTAAAATGAACCAACACTTAAAATTTTCTCATCTAATTCCTAATATGGTAAATATTGATAATTATAACTCGTATTACCAAAAGCCCTTAGAAGTCCTCAATTTTCGAGAACACAAATGAGTCCTGATCCTAAGAAGTTTGAGAACTATTTCAAGGGAAGGAGGCTAGATTCATCAAATGAAGAAAGTTTTAAAGTTTTAATCTTCTGAGTATTCCTTTGGAGTATGGACTGCATACCAGTAGTTTCTTTTCCTGATTGTAAGGGTATGTCACTAGAGTTCTTTGTCATTCCCCAAGTGGGCAGAAACTTCGTATGTGTGTTTTTAAAGAAGATTTTCATTTTTATTTAAGATTGATGTATGTTGGTTGCTATGCAGAATTGAGATAATGGTTTATGGTCATTCCAGTCAGCATATTCATTAGTGATACCACTCGTTTGGTTGTGAGCTATTCATGCAGTTTTAAGAGGTGTTTACCATGTACTTTAGGGTTGCAGTGAAATTCACTTTGTTGAAAATAAACTGCCATTTTCTTTGAAGTCTCTACGCTAGGCTAATCTGTCTGCTGTAAAGTCTTTCTGACGTTTCATAGCTGTTTTCTAGACGGTCCACAACTTACTAATGTGTTTGTGAATTAGTTATTAGCAACAATATGATATGAATTACAGATAGATTCTATAGTACCATTAGTAGTATGGGCATAGCCTTGTTGTGGACTATTAATGTCTTTCTGTGGGGAATTATATTCTGACTCCTAGGACTCTAGCCAAATACATTACTCCATTGCAGTCTAATAGTGGCAAGGAACCCCATTTTCCCATTTATAGTAGAAACAGGAGTGTTAAAGCTTTGATAGAAGCAGGAGAGGCATTTTGAAGCAATGTTCAAGAGACACAGGTATCCTAGGCACCCTGGGTTGGTAGAAGGGATGGTAGCACTCTCAGATGAAGCAGGTGTAGAAACTTTGGGGAAACTAGCAGAGGTGGAGGCAAAAAGGACAAGGGATGTTCTGGATGCTGCTTGGGGATGATATATTCCCTTTTGGGGCAGTTGCTGAAAAATAAGGGATGGGTAGTCCTAGGCTGAGAAATCCATCTGAATAGAGTTTTGTTGTGTTGTGCTCTTGTATCCGATTATTGTATGAACTGAGCTCAAGAAATAGAATGACAAACTAATTGAGAAGGTTTAACTCATAGATTTATAGGCCAGAGGTTTGAATGTAAAAGGAAATTGATGAATTCCAGGGGCATTCATGATCAGGAAGAGTAGAGGAAGCCAGGAGAGTGTTGGAACATGGAAGCCCTTCACAAGGGCCCCAAACAAATTCACGTTACAGGGTGGCTGTTCAGACAGGGGTAGAACTGATGATCAGCTGGCATAGTTCAGTCATAGAATTCTGTGACTCAGCCTACTGCCCTAGGGTTTCTGGACCATAGGAACTATAGACTTTTAAGAGTCACATCTACACAGGAAGCCTGTGATGGTGAATGGTGGATATAAAGCAGAAATCCAGAACCAAGAGAACTTGGGGACACAGTCGAGGCCAACTTCGGAGAACCAGAATTTGACCTTAGGTTGAACTTGTCTTCTTCCTACCCAAGGCCATTGTTGACCCCTTGGATTAAGGCAGGACTGATCCAAAGTGGAAAGCAAAGTGAGCATAGCTAATTGTCTACACTGAAGTGACAGACCTGCCCAAGAAATACTTGTTAAGTCAGTGGACGGAAGTAAGGCAGGAGAATACCAGAGTCATCACACTCACGTTTTTCATGCAACAAACATGGGGTATCATACTACCTACCCATGGAATATTCTCTAGGTCAGGGGTCAGCAAACTATTTGTTAAAGCTCCAGATAGTAAATATTTTAGGCTTTATGGGTGATACATTCTGTGTTGCATCTAAAGTCTGCCATTATAGCATGAAAGCTATAATGAAAAATGGTTATGTGAGAACAGGCAGTGGGCTGAATTTTGGGTCACAGGCTTTGGTTTGCTGACCCCTGTTTTAGGCAAATAGATGACTATCATTTATGATGCAGAAAGCTTATTAGCATTACTGAAATAGATATTCTCTAGGACAATGCTGTTGGTGACACTGTCTTGTTTTATAGGTAACACTGATGATAAAAATCCGTTCAAGAATTTTGATTTGACATCTGCAGCAGGTTCAGATCTCTCAGCTATAAGACAAACTGGATACTTCATAAAGATTTTCATCTGTTATCCAGAGAGAACCAAAATCCGTTACTGAAATTGTCTGGGTGAACTGCCTGTTGGGTCCAGTGATGCACTGGTAGACAAAGAAGTTGAAAAAGAAGGCTGGCATATTCTTTGGATGACTGGCAGAGTATGACACCAGTATGGCATCAAGCCCTACTATGATTCCAAGGACTTCATGACTAAATAAAAGTGATTTTTTTGTTGGAGGTTGGGGATGATTGAAGTAAATTTGATCTTTACATGGGGAATGTGTAATGTATTATTCCATAATGATATTTAGTAATTGCTTTGCTAATCAAACTTTAAAGATCCTGTCTATTATGGAAATTAATAATTATCACCTTTTAGTATTGGGCTTTCTTATACTAAGGAAAATACTGTAAAGAGAAACATCTGCTCAACCTAAAAAAATTTACCTAAAAAAGATTAATGTAAGGACTATGATTTCACATGGAAGTTTTTCTTTGGAGGAGTTTTTGAAATTTTACTCTCCCCTAGAGTGTTTAGAATATGTTTCTATTTGCAAAAAGCTACTGTAGTTAGAATTTTCTAGGAAAATATCCCTTTGTGTAGGCTCTTGAACTCAGTAGTAAGTAGAAAATCAGACTGTACAGTATTAATATGCACAGAACATTAATAAATTAATTTATCAATAAATTAATAGATGCTAATTAATAATAACTATTAATAAATTAATGTCTTCAGATCTATTAACTAAATTCACTTAAGATGATTTAATGAGCAGATATGAACTGGAATTAAACCTATGTATTTTCTAGAAGTACTGAATCATAAGAAAACTGCAACATCAAAGTATTCTCTGAAGCAAATCAATATTTTATTTGGTTGGAGTCCCTGCTTTTGGTATACATTTATTTATACCAGTTATAGAGGATTTGAAAGCAGTGCTGGGAAATGAGGTGGGTGGATTCTCTCAGAGTTGAATCCCATTTTTTTCCTCATTGAATCTTCAACATTTTTTTTCATCTAGCATTCAACAAAAACTCTGGCAGCTATAAAACATAGATTATATTTTATATAGTTCATACAGCTCATCTACAGACAGAGAAAGATTTCCTCATGATTTACCTTGAAATCTTTATTTAAGGCCTATACTATTCAGTCTGTCAGTGTGCCACTGCTGTAGTGCACATTTTTTGGTCAGAGTGCAGTGCAGCTAACAGCCATCCCGCTAGGAAAAAGATCTGCGGGTTGCTGACTAGTGGAAGTTAACACACATCTAATTTACAAGTCAGATTAGCGATCACAGTCATACGATGGCTTTATGTGGAATTGATTTCATTTCATGGTTTTTAAGCTGTTTTTTCATTGAAGCAATGCCTGTAACTGAGAGACAGGTGTGTTGTAGTATTTGAATGCTTTAAACTCTTGAATCTGGAATGAAAGAGATGTTCTTATAGATGTTCAGATCCTAAAACTCAGGGATTTTGAAATAAAATGCTCTGTCATTCGTTCATTGTGTTATAATTGAACTGCCCTGAAGATTTTATTTGGCATCATTGTGATTAATATTTGGAAAACTTTCCCATTTTCAAATATAAGGTACTTTAGGAGAGACTATGATTGTGTGTGCATGTGTATGTTTAAATAGAGCAGCAAAACCTGTTTACCTTATAGATAAGATGCATTTAGTAAGAAATATATGGGTTTAATATTGATAGTACATTCAAATCAGGAATTCCATTGTTTTCTCCTGGAAACCTATAAAGGGGAAGGGACAGTAAATAGATCCCTTTGTAGACTGCAGTTATAATTTTTCCTTAAAGTAAACCTTTTTAAAAATATATAGAATAATGCATAAATATGGCTTGATAGGTTATAGTTATTCTTATTTTACCTGTTTGTTCTGAAACTGAGAAGACGTCTCATAGATGTGAGTATGAAAAAGTAGTTTATTGCAGAAAGAAAGTGCTGTTTATTGGAATTTGAACATAATTGCAGGCAAGCAACTGTATGGTTCTTGGGCCAGTAATTGATTTGAGTTTAATCAGGAGAAGAAGAAACTTAAAGAATTTAAAACTAATTTTCTCTCAGTGATGGAAAAAAATTTCATTTTGTCCTCCCTCATCCTGCCACGTAGTGAGTTCTCATGAATTGATTTTTGAGATGACGAAACATTGATATTTAGAGGGTTTTAAGAATTTATCAGTTACATCTTTTTGTCCCGTATGTTTTACATAGGACTTCTTTAGTCATGGTTATAGGACATAAGGAAGATAGTGATCCTGACTTTCATGGACTTTAAGAAAGACTATTGAAGAAAGATTACTGTAAGGTAAAGATGTAGTAGGCATACATTACTGTGTTTATTTTAATAGAGCAGTGACTGGGTGGATCCTTCCCTCATTTCCTTTTCCTCTAACTTCATAATCCATGGTTAAAGCTGCATTTCCTTGAGGTGAGTGGGAAGTAATTTTGTGAATGGAGACAGTGAATCTATTGTAGACGTTGGGAAATGGGTGGGATGTAAAAGAGAAAGAGATCGTAAATGTGAGGTAATTAAGATCATAGGTGAACGCTGTTGTTTTGGCTTGAGAAGGGTACGAGAGTAGAGGTATCGTAGAATAGAGTGATTTGTTATTACCGTGTACTGTTTATTGTTGCAAAATTCTGTGCAACCCCCTTTTTTGGTAAATTTTTGTTTTACATTTAGTTGCTTAAAATGAAGTTTCCCTTATAATAAGTAGGCAGTACATGTAATGCAGGGAAATCATACCTAAGATGATAGGATGATGACTATGACTTCTCTGTTTTCAGAATTTCAGCTAAAGCTCCAAGGCTGAAACAAAGGTTAGTAAGTATCCTTACATTCTAAAGAGGAATGTGGGGCTTAGTAAAGGAGAATAGAACTGCGGTACCCACTTCCATACATAAGAGAAATTAGAAAAGGGGCTTTACAAATGTCATTCAAGTGAAGAATTGTTAATTTAGTGGAAGGTTAGTTCTGTGACATTTCCCTGTTTCTCCCCAAAAGGACCTTTTGTTTTCAGCCCAGGATTTGGATATGTCTCCCAGAAGGGTAGATTGATACTTAATTTCTTGTCTAGATGTTTAATGAGCTGCAGAATCTCGTTTCTTGATACAGTAATGGCACCTTCTAAAGAGTTCTTGAGAGGGCATAGCATCTGTCTCCTAGAATTTGGAGCATTCCTGAACTTAGATTTTTGGAGGATTCCTGAACTTAGACTTTTGGAGGGGAGGAGAGTGACTGGAGCTAGTGAGATGGCTTGTTTAAAGAGAGGGTAGTAATAGAAAGAGTTGACATTTACAATTAGTGTGGTAAGTAGGTATGAGGTTTTTTTGTTCTTTGTTTTCTTTTTTGGTCGACCAGGTGGATCCCTTGGGAATTAAACAGGCTTGAGTTACCTTGATGGATCCTGCCAAGGAGGGCTGCTTGTCCTTGAAGAGGATTTTGGGTAGGATAGTAAGAGGTCAGCCTGAGAATGCATCTCCCATACCAGAGAACTGTTCAGGGTGGAAGGGCCAGCCTCTTTTTTGCTAGAACGTAAATGTTTTCCAAACAGGAATTTTTAGAATGAGAGAAGATAGTGGTCAGTAAGTACATGTAGATAACATATCCTCTTATTGCATGGCTATACTCCCATAGAAGTAGGCACACAGGACTTTTGTCCCTCTTCCTCTGCTTATTCTGATCTGGAGGAACCAGAAAGTGAAAAAGGAAGTAGAGAAAAAGCCAAGAAGGATTTTGAAAGAAACTGATTACATTCTTTATCTTGGCTGGCCTGGGCTGAGGTGGGGTGCATGGATACTCTTTGAATAAAATGTAAAATTAAAGGTGTAAATTGGACTAGGTTATATTTTGCAATACTTGAAAATGATTGAGAAGCAGTAGGATTTAACTGGGATGTTATGGAGAGATGGGTAGGTGAAGTCCAGAAGACTATATTTGAATTGATGAAAGGAAATTAAAGCTTATATTCCATTGAGTTAAGTGTATTTGATCATCTTAGTTTAATAAGATTTTAATTTAGGTTAAAGGTTGAACAAAGCTTTACTGAATACCTACAATCTGATACGTAAGGTACTCTGTTAAGCATTTTAGGACAGGCAAAGATGACTAAGATTTTCTGTCCTCAAGGAGCTTCTGCTTTAGTGTAAATAGGTAAACTTAATCAATGACAGAGTGACATAGGTGCTCCAGACCTTTCAGTGGCAATGCTGTGGGAATGTGGAAAGAACTGAATGCCACTGGGGTTCAGGGCAAGTTTTGTGGAGGAGACTTGAGTTTGGGCTGGGGCTTGTAAGAGGAGAATGGGAAGAAGGACATTCTAGCATGAGGAGTAATTGAAGGCATGGAATTGGAAATGAATAGATGGCTGGGAGGAAATAATGCTCATCTACACTGAAAATTTTACTTTTTAAAAACTGATTTCAATCACCAGTTGAACATGCTTGCCCATGTTACAATTCCAGTTGAAGTTTGGTATTTTTATATACCATTTTTGCACATTAGTAATGCACAGAGTATCTTCCTTTATGAGATGTAGCATGGAGATGTTATTCACTTTAGAACCTAGATGGTTATAAGCATCAAAACCAAACTTCTAAGTCTAATCACAAAGTCTATTGCTTTCCTTGATTTAAAACAGTAAAATGTAGAGAAGATGATGATTTTTACATATGATCTTAAGCATTTGGCAGTGCAATTAGTTTCATAACAAGTGATTGTTTTTTAAAGCCTTCCCAGAATAAGAATGAGTATCTTGATGCTAGTGTCATTTTTAAATAGCAATAGCTCCAGGAATGTGTCTGTTCACGTTGTTATCTTAAATACACACCTTATCTATCCATATTGCTGTACTTCAGATGTGAAAGTAAAAATAAAGGTGTGAAGTGCCTAGCCGACTTGTATGGATTTATGCAAATCAGAAAACACACAGTCCATTAGTGCTGAGGCCCTAATGTATTAAATTCAAGTAAGGATTATTTCCTAAATGTTTTACACAAACATACGCAAACACACATACACCATGATAACCAGCGACTTACTTTGCAAAAAAAAAAATCTTTACAAGAGGTTTTTTCTCTGAACTCTTGGCATATATCCAATTGTCGTGCCATACCTCCATATGGATATTTAAAGGTATTTAAAATCTAAAGTGCTCAAAACTCAGTTGATCCTTTTACCCAAACTTGTTTCATTTTTAGTCTTCTCCATCTTAATTAATGACAGTACCATCCATGTTACTCAGACCAAAAACCTTGGAGTCATCCCTAACTCCTCTCTCACATCTATACCTCGTCTATCAGTTTATGTTGACTCTTCATCAAAATACAGCTAGAATCTGAATCAGACCACCTCTCACCACCTCCACTACTACCTAGTCCAACCTATTCTCATCTCTTACTTGGATTATTTTAATAGTCTTCTGATTGGTCTCCTGGCTTACTTTTAAAATTCTCAACCTATAACCCAGCACTTCAGTCTAGTCTTAGTGCAGTAGCCAAAATAATCATAGTTAAAACACAAGTCAAATCCTGTCATTCTTCAATTGTTTCCTTTCCCACTCACTGTAAAAATTGTCTTTGTAGTACCCTGTAAGGCTCTGCATGATGTTATCCCACCTGAAGTCTTATGACTGTCTTGTTTACTACCCCCCATTCACCCTTGATCCTGTCGTCCCCTAGATAGCTGGCCTGAAGGCCTTTGTACTTGCCCTTCTCTCTGCCTCAAAGGCTCTGCCCCCCGGATTACTGCTTAGTTTATTCCCTAACCTTTCTTGGGTCTTTATTGAAATGTTACATGCCTAATGAGACCTTTCTTGACCGTGTTATTTAAAACATTCTCCTTGTTCCAGTTACTTTTTCTGGTTAGCACTTCTCCACACTAACTGTATATTTTACTTTTACTTTTTTATTGTAAGTCTTTTCCTTTTAGGATGAAAGCTTGATGAAGGCAGGGGATATTGTTCTGTTTACTACTGTACCAATACACTTAGAATCATTCTTGGCACATAGTTCATAGTTGAATACATAATTGATTGAAAAAAAGATAATGAAAAACCTATTATATAGAGGTTAAACCAATAAGGGCATTGATGTGCCCTCTCTCAAGCACATTTACAGGTAATTATTGATCTCATTTTTGTCATTATGAATTAGTTTTCCCTGCTCTAGATTTCCATATAAATAGTATCATGTTATGCACTCTTTTGGTTTTGAAGCTTCCTGTGTTATTGTATGTTTTAGTAGTTAGTTTCTTTTCATTTTAGTGTTCATTGTATAAATGTGCCAGAGTTTACTTGTCCACTTACCTGTTCATGGACATTGGGTTGTTTCTGTTTTTGCCTGTAAAGAATAAGCTACCATGAATGCTTATGGACAAGTCTTTGTGTCTTATGCTTTAATTCTTTTGGATTAGATGCCTACAATTAGGATTATAATGATATATGGAATGGTATGTTTAACTCTGTAAAAAACTGTCCTACTGTTTTCAAAGTGATTGTACCATAACCCCCAAAATGTATGAAAGTTCTAGTTGCTCCACATTCTGGCTAGCACTTGATGTTATGATTCTTTTAATTCTGTATTCTAGTGGGTCTGTGTGGTATTTCGTTGTGGTTTTAATTTGCTTTTATTTGTTTACTGGTGACATTGATCTTTTCATCTACATATTGACCATTTATCTTCTTTTGTGAAGTATCTGTTCAAATCTTTTGCCCATTTAAAAAAATTGAATTATTTGTTTTCTTATTCGGTTTTAATAGCTCTTTAGCTGTCTGGAAACAAGTTCTTTGTCAGACATATTTTTTCCCTACTCTGTGGATTGCTCTTTTACTTTCATTAATGGTGTCTTCTGAATAGCAGTTTTAATTTTTGAGTAAATCCATTTTACCAGTCTTCCTTCTTTCCTTCCTTCCTTCCTTTCTTGGTTCTATCTAAGAAGTCTTTGAGTAACTCTAGGTTGTGAAGATTTTCTCCTGTGTTTTCTTCTAAAAGTTTTATAGTTTTAGCTTTTTTACATTAAGTCTTTGATTAATTTTTGTGTAGAGTGTAAGGTGTAAGGATCAAAGTCCATTCTTTTCCATATCTAGTTTTCCAAGGACCATTTGTGCAAAAAACTGTCTTTTTCTTCTTTGAGTTTTCTTGAAACTTTAAAAATTCAACTAATCTTACAATTCTAGGTCTTTTCATAGATTATCACATGTTGATCTGTATGTCATGCCACTGTTTCATACTAAGTCTTGAAATATGTGGTGTAAGTTGTCTAAGTTGGTTCTTTTTTGAAATTGTTTAGGCCCTCTGAATCCTTTCCATTACCTGTTAATTATATGCTAATATGCTTTATGCTTATATGCTTTAAATGCCTGTAGGAATTTTGATTGACATTGCATTGAATCTATAGATCAGTTTAGGGAGGATTAATTTCTAAACAATATTGAGTTGTTCTAATCCACAGACATGATTTATCTTCATTTATTTATGTATTCTTTAGTTTCAGCAATGTTTTATAGTTTTTATTATGCTGGTCTCCAATGTCTTTTGTTAAGTGAATAGGATACAAACTATATTTTTGAATGTTTTTGAAAGGGTATTTTTTAAAAAATAAATTTTACAATTGATCATTATTAGTATACAGAAATGCAGTTGATTTTTATATTCATTCATTAATTCTTTTGGCTTTTTTTTGTGTGATTTTTCTCAGGATATTCTATGTGGCTGATTGTGTTAATCACAAATAGAGTTTTACATCTTTCCAATCTTTGTATGTTTTATTTCTTAATGCACTTACTAGGACTTCTAGTAAAATGTAATAGAAATGGTGAGAG